AGTTTGGTCAGAGAAATAGGGGGGGATGGGTGTGTGGCGGGGGGTGGGGGGGGACATGCAAATACCAAGGGCCGGCAGGGATGGGGCAGGGACAGAGAGCTGGATGCGTAGGAGCCCTCTCAGGACATTCATTGGTGAGAGGTGACAGCTCCACACACCCACTCTTGTGAGCCCGGAGGTGGCAAATGGCACGCTAGTCCCCACCTCCCAGCTCTGAGCCCTCCTCCCCCCAGGCGGGCCGGTGTCCTTCAAGGCCCAGCCCAGGGCTGTCATCTGCGGGCCACCCTGCAAGGTCTGCAGCAGAAAAGCCTGCACCTCATTTCAGGCTCGGCCTGTCTGTCTCACCGGCCCGTGGCTCCTTCCTGCATGGTTGGTTGCGATTGATCCCCTCCTCCTGAGGGTCACTGTCAACTCGGGGTTCCATACTGCACCAGAGCTGGCGGGCTCAGGATAGACGAGTGAATGCTAGTGCCCTGGATCAACAAAGCAGTGACTGAGGCGGGCCAAGGGCGTGAGCACAGGCGCGCACACACACACACACACACACCTGCCACCAGGTCGCCAGCTTGCCTGACACCTGCTACTGAGGCCTCTCTGGAAATGAAAACCATTCAGGATCCTCAAATGCCAGCACTGTATGCCTCAAAGCCTTGACTTAAATATTTACAGAACCAGATAATTGATTAAAGGAAGTGCTGAGGACAGAAACAGTTATTAATAAATCATTGCAATGATTATTTTCCTTTCGAGAAGCCCAGTCAGCCTAGTGAGTAATACCTGCGTGATTGGTCAGCTGAGGAAAGACCCGGGTCAGTTCGGCGGCTTAAGTAGCATCTGCAGGAAGGGGCCCTCCCTGGTGACCTGGAGTTCAGGGTGGGGGTGCAGCTGCCCTTTCCTCTCCTCCAGGGTGGGGGCAGGGTCAGGTGGGCTCCTCGGGTGCAAGGTCCCCTGCCCTGGTGAACATGGCCCTCCTCACCTGCCCCTTCCTGGCACGCCTTAGAAGGGCCAGCACCCAGGGCTTTGACCAAACCCATCCTTGGTCTTGCAGTGGGAGGGGGCCTACAGACCTTCGGCCACACAGTCACCGCACACGGACAGGCTCCTGAGCTCCCCCAGGCTCGGTGTCCAGGCCCTGTGCCCAGAGCTGGGCCTCCCGGGACGGGTGCGGCCGGACGTTGAGCGCCCCTGCAGACGTGCCCCAGTGCCAGGGCAGAAGCTCTGTGGCCCCTGGAGGGCCGGCATCCGCGTGCACTGCTGAGTGACTGAGCTTCTGTTGAGCTCCAGGAGGCCCCAGATTCCCATTCGTTTCTCATTTCACTGTTTTATACCCAGAAGCAGAACAGCTCCTGGCACATAGTAGGTGCACAGTAAACAACTACTATAGGAATGAATGAATGAATCATTGAAAAAATGGAGGGGTGGGTTCATGGAGGGAGGAGGAAAGAAAGGAAGGGAGGAAGAAGAGGGGAGGGGAGAAAGGAGTGGAGAGAGAAAGGAGGGAGGGGAAGCAGAGAGGGAAGGCAGTTGGGCAGAGAGATGGATGAACACACGGTGCATGAATGAGCATGGAGATCCTGGGGTCCCAGGGCCAGCGTGGAGTTTAACTGGGCAGGTGGGCTGCACTCCCGCCCCACAGACCACCGGGCTGCCCCTGAGACCCACGGAGGCAGGCCCAGCACGTCCCCTGGCTGGAAGCCCACGCCTCGTCGCAGGCCAGCTGGGGTGCAGGATGGGTGAGAACGAGGGCAGGCACACGGGTCTCACGCTGCATGTTCTTGGCTTCCAGCCCGCTCCAAGAGCCTGGTGATGGGAGAGCAGGGCCGGAGCCCTGGGCGGCCACTGGGCCCCCGCCGGCCAGGCCCCGTGCTCAAGGCGGGCTGGCTGAAGAAGCAGAGGAGCATCATGAAGAACTGGCAGCAGCGCTGGTTCGTGCTGTGTGGGGACCAGCTCCTCTACTACAAGGACAAGGACGAGACCAAGCCCCAGGTGAGAGCGTGTGCCCGTGTCCCATGGGCGTCCTGGAGGGACAGAGACCGTCTCCCCTGGGCCTCACAGCGGTGCCCTCAGGGTTTCCTGTGTGCTTTTTATCCTCGGCCCCGGGCTCCTATACCCACGCGTCCATAATGGAAGGTTTCCTATGGCGTTGACAGGTAGAGTCCTTGCCCAACTTAAGAAAACAGCTTTTCCTGTCCCCTCCAGTCCCTGGGTGCTCCAGGCAGGGCGCAGGTGCACACGTTTCACTCCTCCCAACATCCAGGGACAAAACCACCTCCAGCTCACATGCGGCCTTCGTGCCAGATGTCGCCGCCCGCACAGGGCTTGTTTCCTCCCGGTGACTGGCCGACTAAGTCCGGCTGCTGCTTCTCATGGGCCGTGAAACAGGAGGCAAGGCTGGAGAAGAAGGGAGTTTATTCTGTAAGGGCTACGGGGAGATGGCCAGTGAGCACCCCCAGACTGCCTGGAAAGCTCAGCCTGTCTGTGGTACCAGACACGAGCAGGTGCAGACCCTCCCCCACCGTGGCCCATCAGCGTCGATCGCTCTCCCGACAGTCACCCCGATTCCTGTTTTACTTCGAATACCCACTGCTGGTGTCTGTTCGAACCATTCCTCGGACAGGCCCCCACGACTCCACGCCTGGTCAGGTGGTTGCCATTAGAGGTTCCTTAGTTTCACAATGGCTGCCATCCTGCCAAAGCCGATGCTGACCCCCTGTACCCCTAGCACTGAGGGGCCATCTCGGGCCACCCAGGTTGGTCTCAGTTCCCTCACTGGGAGAAGCTATTAGCCTCATCCACCACGAGTGGGTCATCCCAGCTGCACCCCACGAGTGCTGGGATGAAGAGCTCGGCCTGCTGCTGCCCGGACAGCGGGGCTCCCAGGACATGGGCAGCCGACTCACATAAAGGACTCCAGAGAGAGAAGGGCTATTCCTTGGGAAAACGTGGGGAAGAGCCCTTAAAGGACTCGTCCCAAACAACACTCCTATCACGGCTCTGAGTCAGAAAGAGACGTCAGGGGGCCAGGCAGTGGCGCAGCTGTGACATGACTGACCCACATGGGAAAGGTTCTGGGTTCATGTCCCCAGCCCTCCCTGAGTACACTGGGCGTGCACCCATAGTCTGGGCTGGCTGAGATGGGGGCAAGTCATGCCGTGGGGACCCTGTTGAGGTAGCTGTCTCTCTAACTCTCCATTTATTTCTTATGGAGGAAATGAATTAATTTTAAACATAGAGAAATGTCAGATCCCCTTGTTCGGGGTCAGCATTGCAGAGCCTTGGCAGGGGGAGGGGTATGCATCTCAGCCATTCCCACAGAACCGGGGTGCAGAGAGTGCTCTGGGATGGGCAAGGTGCAGGAGGTTCCTGGGTGCAGCCCTGGATAGTGTGGGTTCAGGGCGGGAACTGGTCTCACAGCCCTTGGTAATTCTGAGCATGTCAAAGACGGAGTGTCAGCCCCGTGAGCTCAGATCTTTACACGTCTCTGGCACGGGCAAGCCTCTCTCGACAACACTGGGGTGTGGGGGGCGGGAGGGAGAGCAGGGCTCTCAGCGCGGCCGCTGTGTCATGCTGAACACGGTTACCGATGTTTGTGCCATCCCTGCTCATGGAGAGCTTGCCCTTCCAGACTAAGCCCGCGTCAAGCACGGGGCAGTGTGTCAGCACATAGCTCCTAGAGTGGTTAAAGCGGCACCTTTCAAGCATGCGTGTGTGTTTCCACGACAGCAGGGAAACTGTTGAAGGAACCCGTGCGTCATCATAGCTCAGGGGAAGGTGGGCATGGAAAATTGTGAGGGTGCGTCTCAGGGTCAGGCCAGGTGCAGTGTGGGTCTGAACAAGGCAAGGCAGCCTGGTCCCACGGGCCGCCTCGGATGTGGACGGAGGAAGCACACGGAGAGCCGTGGGGATAGCCAGGAGCTCTGGAGTCAGGTCGGTGAGGGTTCGAGCTGACCTGAAGCCAGCGTGCTAGCTGTCAGAGGCCGTTTCATTTTCCGCTGTAGGTTTTGTTTGTAAAATGAGACGATGTGCCTCCATTGCAGGACACAGTAGGCTCACGCTGTAACACACAGAGGCAAGTGCGAACCCCAGCACCCCGGGTACATAGATCCGAGCCACGCCCCCGCCCACACATGCCCGCCACCTCTGGCCTCCATGTTTTGAAGACCAGTTGTGACCCTCCAGTTGCGTTTGGGCTTTCCTGGAGGACCTGTGGGTGATCGGTCACTCTGATGCCAGTTAGCAAAGGTGCCAGGCCCACCCCTTTCAGAGTTTCTGGGGTCCCATCGTGGACACCCCCCTGTTCAGCCCCGGAGCTGCTTCCTGAGAGCACCACTTTCTGAGGCTGGGTGAGCCTGGGGGCAATGACCCTGAGTCACCCAGGCCCCACAGGGACAGACTCCCCTGCCACAGGCTTCCTCTCATCTTTCACATGGCGAGCCCTGAGGTGGCCCGTGGTCCTTGCCCATCGGGTGACTCCATAGGAGCTTCCATCTCCTAGAACTTCTGAAACAAACATTCTTCCCACCGACCCCACCCCACCTTTTCCAGATCCCACGGGCTTCCAGTAAAAGCTAATAAAATGGAGGTCAGCATCTCAGTGGCCAGCCCTTGCAAGGGCAGCCCTCAGGCCCTTCCCAGACCAGACCAGTACATCCTCTCAAAGGGAGCACGTTGGAGCTCTGAGAGCCAGCGTCTCCCAGCAGATGCCAGCGTCTTCCCAGGCCCTCTCTCGGTCTGGCCGGCACTCCCAAGCCTCAGGGGAGGTTATTACTGGCCCTCATCCCCCTCCCCAGCAAAGCCCGACTCCTGTGGCAGCCCCTTGCACAGGGCCCAGTCTCGCGGTGCCTGTTGGACACATTCGTGTCGTTCGTCTTAGTATGATCTTAGACTTGCACAGCCGCTAGAAAGAGCCCCAGATTTCTACTTAACTGCATGAACTACGGGTAATAGACTACTCTCAATATCCAGTTCCTGGAAAAATCTGCCCTGCTCACTGTCCACAGTGAGAGTGCCACACACTCAGCACCATGCCGTCGGACAGCCATGCCAGGAAGAGGGACGTCCAGCCACCGGTGATGCTGCCCAGGGCTAACACGTGTGATGAGACCACTCAGCCCCCCCGTCCGTGTTCTCGCTCCCAAGTCTCTCTTCCGCTCAGCCCTATCAGGGTCAGCAGAGCAGAGAGAGCACAGAAAGCGGGAACACTGGAGATGAAGGAAGAGAGGGAGTTGCTCAAACTCGTTTGGGAAGGCTGGGCAAAGGCGTTTTATGCAGGACCTGTACACATACCCTTGTCCCACCGGCTTCTCCCAGCACCCATCCCTGGTGATTCACAGCAGATGAGGCCTACAGTTGTGCTGACAGAGGACACCAGGGTTGTTCCCCTTGCCACTTCAGCTTCTGCTTGAAGTGTTGATGGGGTCCCTAGACTTCTGCCACTTTCCTGGTCTGTCAGGCGGGTCCATCACCACTCGGAGGACTCACATTACGTCTGCTGATCTCAGCCCTTCACATGTAGGTTTCTTGGCTTTGCACGGAAGTGGAAGACAGCATAGAAATAGAATGTGTATGACTTTCAGAACATGAGGCAGAAAAGCATGGCACATTTGAAGGGATCCATCTAATAAGTGAGAAAACAGGAGGAAAGAGAAAAACAAGATGGAAAAATAAGTAGCAAACAACAATAAATAAGATGGCAAGAGTCAGATACAAATATGTCGGCTGCCACGATCAACACAGATAGGTTAAATTCATCCAGCCCCTAATGTGAGGGACTCGGTTTTAAAAATAGAGAGGAATAAGCAAAAATGTTGGAAAGTAAAAGAATTAAAAAGGGGCCAGCAGGTGGCATGGTGGTCCCACATGGCTGGCTGTGGTTCAAGTCCCAGACCTGGCAGCTTGCTTTCTCATTCTCTCTCTCTCATTCTCTGGTGAGCATGCTATAGCAAATTAAAAATAATAATGATAATAAAATTAAATAAATAATTCTTTTAAGAAATAATAAAAATATTTTTTAAAAAGGTAAGCCACAAAGTGTAAAAAAGCAGATTTTGTAACATCAAATAAAATAGAATTTAAGGTGATAAGAACAAAATGGCACCAAGAGATCTCTGCTTCCTGATAGAGAAAACAGCCTGCTGAGAGAATGGCAGCTATGAACGCCTATGCTTCTAATGGCATGGCTTTGAAAATGTATGTATTACCAAAGAAACAAAGAATATTCGTTGTTTCTTTTTTTTTAAAGCCTTTTTTCCCCCAAAGAAGGAAATCATATAGTACTAACAGTAGTACAGAAGAAGAAGATAATAACAACGAGACCGAGTGAGGGTGTGACATAGGCAAAAGCCAGACCTACAGTGTGGGAAGCAAAGATACATTTCAGAAACCTCCCTGGTTAACGAGAAAATCGAAACTCAAATTCACACTTCCAGTTAAGGATGACAGTTTTTAAAGTCACCTTTGGCTTCTCCACATACCCCAACTCCACAAAACACTCCAAACATGTTTTTGAAGGTGTCAACACACCTAGATGAAAAGAACAGGAGGGGCCTTTGTGGAGCTGGAGGCCACTCGCTGACCGTGGTTGGAGTCCCCGCCAGTGGGCCTGAAAGCCTGCCAGGTGTGTGCACACACCCAGAACCTTCGCAGGGTGGAGGACTGGAGAAAGGGCATCGTGACTGCCCGAGCCCTTGAAGGCTGCTTCTCTCTCTTTTCTCTCTCTAACATACATACACATTCTCGATCTTTTACAAATAGTTTTTCTTCGAAGACCATGTTTGGGGGCTAGCAAGCGGTGCAGTAGTTAAGGTGGTAGACTCTCACGTGGCTCACCATGATTCGAGTTCTGGACCCGGAGGCTTGAAAATCGTGCTGGGCACGTGTGCGTGCATGCCCCAAATCCTGGGAGGAGAATGAAGGAAAAGGGATTGTGGTGTGGCCATCCCTCCTGGGGGCGATTTCTCATTTTCCCTCTCACTGTCTCTGTCTCT